AGCTAGCAAACTCCAGGTATCTTCCACTCTCTGCTTCTCAGCCCTGGGATTGAGTGTACCACCATATACAGTTCTTTCATGTGGGTTCTTCGGATCAAACTCGGGACTTCATGCTTGCCAGGCAAGTAATTTATTGACTGAGCTATATCCCAAGCTCCATATCCCTCTCCCCTCTTGGAGACAAGATCTCATGTATCATGTAGCCCAGTCTGACTTTGAACTCACTATATAGACAAAGATGATCTTCCTGCCTCCACCTCCCAAGTGCTGAGACTGCAAGTATGTGCCTCTTTGCGTAGTTTTTGTGGTCCAGGTACTCTAGAACGTCAGGCTTTGAGCATGCTAGCAAGTATTATACTAATGCTCCTAAACCTCTTGTTCTATATAAAATAGCCTGCTTTAGGTCATTAGTTATAGTAATGAAAAGCACATCATAAGTCCATGCAAGAAGTGGTAGTGGTTTAGAAAGGATGGTAGGAATGGAGATTAAACTCTGGGGATATTTTGAAGGTAGGTGGCCTGGGGTTTATTGAATGTTTATATGTGAATTGAAAGGGAAAGAAACGTTCAGGATGATTCCAAGGTTTTTGAGTTGAGCATCTGAAAAATTAAATGTGTCCATCTCCTAAGTCAGGGAAAAATGAAGGAGGAGGAGCAGACTGGCAGACAGGAGACATTTCTGTTAGATTTGCAGTAGGCAGTGGGATCAGCATTCTGATGGAGATGGAAGTCAGGGGTAGGTTAAAAAACATATTTCCCTTCTTGATTTTCTTCTTCCTCTCTCTCTGTAACTGCCACATGTAACCCAGGCTGGCCTAGAATTCAAACTGTGGTCACAGTTAGCCTTCAACTCTTGATCCTCCTTCCTCTACCTTGCGAGTGACCAGTCTCCATTCCATATTCCCCTCTTGGTCTCCAACAGAAAACAGAAGATTAGATTCAGTATTTCAGTCAGCTGGTGCTGCTCCTGTGTTTCTCCTCTGATGTGTAATCTGAGCGTTCTCCTGTATGGGTAGTATTTAAAGCCAAGCTTCTGATTACGCAGAGTACAGATGAACCAGAAAAGAGGCCCAAGGATCAGTCTTCAACTTTCACTTCCAGCTTTCTTCTCCTTTAAGGGAATGTTGGCCTCCTTCTTGGTGAGGCAAAGATAATCAATTAGAGGGATTGCCACGACTTGACTGATGGTGTTGAAACTGAATCCCAGCTGTGCTGAGGTGTGGCTTTTTGAAGAGGATTAAGTCAGGAAGGCTCTGCCCTCCCAAATGAGATTAGCACCAATCTAAAGGGACTAGGTTGAAGGAGCTCCCCCTTGGACTTCTGGTCCTTCTGTCCTGTAGGCCTCAGCCTTCCTCCGCTCTGGAGGAAACATCCACAAGGCACCAGAAAGGAAATAGAGAACTGTAGAGGACAAAAGGCCCTGTGCTCACAGATAAGCGCTGGAGGAGCCAGGAAAGTTAAACACACAGCTCACTCTTCAGAGGAGTGAGGTATGTAGCTGTTCTTCCTGGAATGTCAGGAATGATGCAGTTTTACAACCTGGTGATCATCTGTTGTCTGATGAGATAGGGTCCACCTGTATCTCCCAGAATTTATGTTTTTACTTAATCCCAGACCCTTTCTCCCTAAATTTTGAGCATTGATATGTTATCTTAGTCCAGGCCAACCCTGACTCCACTGTCATGTTTACCTTAGTCATT